GATCATTTAACAGACCTAGGAAAGTACTAATAAATTCCAACATCCATCATTTATGCTGAGTATATTATCTCTGCACATGAGTAATAGATAAGAACTTCTTGGTGGCCTGCCTTGTAAGCCCAAGTACCTGAGTTCAATCCCTGTATCAAAAAAAAACACAAAAAAACAAAAAACAAAAAACAAAAAAAAATACAAAAAAAGAACTTCTTTGACATTTAAAAGGACATTTTCTAGAAATGTACACCTAATATACTTAATAGTGAAAGGTCAAATACTGTCCCTTATGACCTGGAACAAGATAAGAATCCTGATCTTCACAGCTTTTACTCAACATTGTTCTACAGATTTAGCTAACTGTCATAACATAATATAGTAAACTACATTTCAAAACAAAAGGAATTAAATACTGATCCTTAAAATATAGCTAAATTGCACAATAATTATGAGTTTAAAAAAAGCTGGGTTAAAATGAATAACTACTACATAAACAACACATTTGTACGAACGCTAGAAAATACAAACTAATCCTTAGTAACATAAGCAGATCAGTGGTTTCCTTCTATTGGATGGGGGGTGAGAGGAAGGGATCATAAAAAAGAGAGAAAACCTCTGTGGATGATGTTCATTGTCTTGATTGCGACAATAGCTTCATAGGTATATACATTTTTCAAAGCTTGTCAAATTATATTATTTGAATATGCACAGTTTATATAAATTACACCACAAAAAAAACTGTTATAGTTAAATAAAATTCAGTTAGCTGATTTCTCCTCCCTTCATCTATAGAATATTTGTTCTCCTCCCACCATTTCACAAAGATGAAAGAATCCACAGATCTTGACTCCTGGGAAAGAATCATTTTTTTGGAATTAGTTCACTGAGGTCTCCTTACATCTTCAGTTTTCTGATTTTTTTACTTATCTTTTCTCATTGTTAGGATGGAATTGATGCTCTTTTGCAACTTTTATATACTAGCTAGAAAAACTGCCTCTTCAAGATTCATGTTTGATTTTAGGATAAACACTAACAAATTACTTAAATGATATAAAATTTTTCTTAAAATGAAAGCCAGGACAGATTTTGCCCCCAAGGATCTCTATAACAAAGATCCTACGGAAAAAACAAGGATTTTAAATATTCCCAGTAAAAGCAGTAATAAATGCCAGATTATTTCAACACTATTCAACATATGTAAAGATCTGGATCCAAAGCACAATTCAGACTGAGCAGATGTTCAGGGAACCAGAATAATGAGTGGACTCTAAAGACCCCACTGTCTGCCAACCCAGTTTAAAATAGAGATGACTTAGGGATGTTCCTTGTATATATAATGGCTGGGTTTTGCTTAAAGATCTAATTTGAAAAAAATTTTCTTTTTTTAATTGACATGAGTACATTATTTGTGAGACAGAGTGTAATGCTTCAATCATGTATACCTTACATAATCATTAAGTTGAGTAACCAGCATATTCATAACCTCATATATTAACCACCTCTTTGTGGTAAAAACATTTAAAGTACCCTCTTTAGCTACTTTTAAAAAATATTTCATGTAATACTGTCAATCCCAGCCATACTGTGTAACAGACCACCTAAACTTATTCCTTCTAGCTAACTGCAACTTTGTATTTGTTGACCAGTCTCTTGTTCTCCCCTCATTCCTGTCCTGCCCACTGTCTGGTAATCATTCTAGTCTCCACTTCTATGAGATCAGCTTCTTTAAGTTCCACATATGAAATCATGTAGTATTTGTCTTTCTGCACCTGGATAATTTCACTTACCATAATGTCCTCTACGTTCAGCAGGGTTACTTAACAGGACTTCATTCTTTTTCATGACTGAACAGAATTAAGTTATACATCTATATCAATAGCTCACATTTTCTTTATTCACTTTTCCCTTGAAGAATATTTAGACTGATTCCCTATCTTGGCTATTGTGAATAATACTACAACAAACACGATAATACAATAACTCTTCAATATTGAAAACTATTTTCTTTTGAAAGGTGAGTTAAATCAACTCACATGTATATGTTTGATTTGTTTGGTCTCAAGTCCATCACATGATTTTGTGTGTATAATATTTACTTTGCTTTTTTATTTATTTGGTATCTTATTTTCTTTTCAAAACATTTATTTTGTTGTTTAGGAAGGCTTTTATTTTTATTCTAGAGGAAGCTTTGTATTTTGTCATAATTCTGTTCATCGTTTTTTACTAATTTAATCATTTATCATTTTCTCTGTCAATTTACATAAAACAGTATCTTATTTTTCCCTTCATTCCCACTTATTTCATTTTAATTACATCATTTCTTCTTTATCAAAACCTATTACCTTTACACATTATTTTTTCATCAACAGTTCCACCTTTGTATTAATATTAGCTCGATACTTAAGTATACTAAATTTCCACTCTCTTTTGCCAAATCTTCCCCAGTTATACTTTGGTTGGATAAGCTCACCCTTCGCAGATTCCTCAGAAAGTATGTTTTATCTGAAGTGCTGCACAATGAGAATCAAGACTTGTCAGGTAGAGGTACAAGATCCCAACAATGAATGTAACTGTACTGTATCCCTAAAATGTACCAATAAACTCAATTAAAGCTGAAAAAAAAACTGGCTTTTAAAAAAGTTTTGATACCTGAAGAACATCTTAGCAGTATTTTTAAAAAATCCTTCCCTTGTCCTGTACTTCCCTGAGTTTCTTAAAAAATCTTGCTCCACAACTGCTTTCCTTTGTGTGCTGCTCTTGAGAAAGTCAATGTCAGCCTGATTCTCTTATTTTTATAGCTAATGTGACCTTTTTATCTCTAGGCCCTGAAGACTTTTCTTTGTTTTATTTGGATGTGTCTCACATTTAATCTTTTTAGGTTAAATTGGGGGTATTTCATCATTCCTTTTAGTAAACAGACCAGTTTTCTCTTATTTGCAAAATGATTCTTATATTTAGTTATAAACATTAATTCTTCAAAAACTCCACTATATATGTTTTGGACCATTTTTGTGTCCAAGAGTTATTTACTACTTTTCTGCTGACCCTTTCTACTGTTTTTGGTCTCTTTTTATTTTCATTGTTGGTTTTGGAAGAAGAATATTCATTGCTTTAGATTTGTATTTTTTATTTCTCTTCTCTTTTTACAACAGCTTTGAAAACAGTTGGCTCAATTGCTTTTTTCTATTCCTAGGGACTTTCTAGACAGGGCTCTTATTCTTTTCTGTGTTGGTAGGAAACTAGGTATTGGTGTGTCTTCTTCCACTTCTGTTTTCATTGTTAGCCTGGCAGCTACCTCATACAGCTTCCCATGAATGGCCAACTGGACATGTGTTTTCTCTGGCAGGTACACTGACTAAGGAGAGTTCTTCAGAGGATACCTTTCCATACACTGGCCTGATTTTCTCTGTGAGTCCTAACATTGAGCTGAGATCAGTAACAGTATCAGCCTACCAAGATATGCCTCAGACTCCAAATCTAGTCCAAGAACATGCTGGAGTCCATTACAAAGCTGATTCTATGGAGCAGGCTCTTTATTCAGTGAAATAATATTCAAACCGAAAAGTGCAGTAAGAGTCCAAAGGTTGGCTAAGAACGCACATACTAGCGGTCCTATTCAAATTTCAAGTAACAATCTTTGACCCCAGATATGAATTAAATGTGTGTAATGTCTGTCACATATAGGACCCATGTAAATCCCATGTTGTTGCACTAGTTGTGAAATTTTGGGAAATTTAAGCAACTTCTATGAATATTAGTTTTCTTCTTATTAAATGTAAGTGAAAACTCTTCCCATATAATTTTTGTAGGCATCACATAGGAAAATACATGCAAAATGGAATGTACTTAACAATATATCTAATACACGAGGATCCACTATTATTTACTATTATTATTGCTGTATTTCCAGTGAATGTAGTTTAATCCAGTTCCTTTGATTTTAAAATTACAAAAGTAGCTCTCCTTATTGAGCTCCTCTAGGTAGCAAACATATGTGCTTTATAAATATAAGTTTGTATTTCTGTTCTTTATTTGTAATAACCTGAAAGTAAGAAGTAGCCCAATTTTACAAATGAGGAAACTAAAGTTTAGAGTTTAAGTCACTTGTCCTAGGTTACATGTCTTAGTGATAACAGAACTAGAATTCTTAACAAGATTTAGATTCTAAAGTCTATAATACCATCTAACTCTTACCAAGAATCTTTTCACTGATTGTTTCCTCCTCATTCCTCCAGGATTAATATTAAGTTTCATACAATGCCTCAAGTTTTATTTCATCTTTTTGCTGCTTTCTGAGCTTTTGCCTTAATTCTCCAGCAGAACTACAGTATATTCTTTAAAGGAGGTAACTATTTTGGAGTTTGTTAGTTTGTTTTTAACCTCCTTGTACTTATACTTCCTCAAAATAGTACTAGATTCAAGTTCTCAGTAAATGCTTATCAAGTTGATAAAAATCAATTTCAATGATTTATGCTATCTCAAGGAAGATACAGTTGCCAATTTATCCAGCTGTGTTGCATCATCTTATCCAAATAAACATGTTTTAAAAGCCCAAGACAAATATTATAAAGGGAATCTGAGAAGTGCACAAGAATTTTAATCTAAAAAGAGAATCAAAGTATGAGAAACATCAGACTTACTTCGTTTTCTAAATTTTTAAAAACAACTTTGAGCTATTTGAGTTCCAGAATAATGTAAGAATAATGCAAGTACATGGATTTTGGAGGAAAATTTTCTGTTACCAGGAAAATATTTTTCTTATAAATCCCAACAAAGCTTGAACTAGTCCAAGACATGTGACTCATTGTTCACTCCTCACTGAAGCCTGAGTCTATGCTCTAGAGCTTTCTCTCAGGATCATATCACACTCTGCATCAATATCAACACTCCGACATAATCACAAGGTTCAGTGACCAAAGTACTGTATCAGTGAACAAGTTACTTCATCTTAATATACACTAGTTGCACAGATTTAAAAATATAAACCCTGGCTTGGCATGGTGGCACATGGCTACAATCACAGGAGACTGCGGCAGGAAAAATCAAGACTTCAGGTTAAGATTGAGAAACATAGCATGACTCTGTCTGAAAAAATTAAAATTAAAATACAAATACAAATAATGTTAGTCATCTATAGAGAACAGGCTTTCGTCAGTAAGTCCATTAACAAAATTTTATTCAAATAACAGCAACTGGGCTAACTGATGAGGGCACAGAGGCCAAAGACATGGTCCCTTCTCTCAGGGAGACAAACAGATAATCAAATGTGGTAACAATTATAAACACTGTGATTTAAAAATGTATGGAGTACAGGGGACATAGATGGAAGAATGTTTAAGTCTAGGTAGGCTTTGTAAGACAAGATTATATGTGGGGTACTTCCAAAAAAGAAATAGTATTGGAATGAGGAAGCATAGGTAGCCTGCACATAACTGCACTTTATGTCAAGTCTCTTAGCCCAATGACCTCTACTACCTAGAAGTTTCAGGAGACCTGAGTGCTACCACTCATTACATTTCCACATGCTTCAAACACTTGCTCCAACTCAACCTGTCTAACATTCTCTCTTCTATTTCATGCTGTTTCTTTTTTCCAACTTCCCTTTTGCTCCAATATTTCCTGTGGCCTTTAATATGTCTGACAGGATAATCTCATGAGAAATTAGACAACAATACTTCCATTCTTCAAAAACCAATTTAGATTTTACCTGTTTCAGGAAGTAATCTAAAAGCTACTTAGAAAGAAGGCAAACGGCCTTGTAGGAATTCAAGTGAAATGTCAAAATGCTGATTGTGATGTGTTGTGTTGGATGAGGTGAGCCTTGAAGGGACATTTCTCATCTTCATCTTCAATTCTGTCATTCCAGATAAGGTAACACATCATCCTACAATATGGGATAAAACTGCTGTAAGCATTCAGAAAATGTAACCAGTATTAAATCAAATTAGATAAAGACTTTTTGTGCCTTAATTCATCACCTATAAAATAAAAATAATCCTAGTTTCTATCTTACAAAGAATTCATGAATAGACCATTCTATCCCTGAAATCTAAGGCAGAGACAGCCATGTCATAGAACCTTAGTAAATTTATGCTGATTGAATAGATGAAGAAGCCAACTTCTGAGACATCTGAAATGAGACATTAGATCTGAGGTTTTTAGAACTCAAGAAGTACCTAAAGTACTAATTTAAAATAGCCTGCACAGTATCTTTTAATGAAACATTCCTATGCTTTGTATATCAATGCTATTATTCTATAAGTAGAAACATTTAAGAACTACAGAAATGGCTCTACTGGGATGAAACACATTGAAGCAAAATATAATCCTAATCCTTTTAAGTGGGCATGTGTCATTCCTTGCCTAGGAATGATCATGAACTTGAAATGCATACGCTTTATGTGTATAACAAAAACAACCATTTTCTAGGTAGATGTGCATTCTACTATTTTCAGAAAACAAAAATTATAGTAAGTTTTTTAAAAATCTGGCCTATATAGAAGAGTATACACAGGTCGGGAATTAGCTCAGCGGCACTGCGCCTGCCTTGCAAGCACAAGGTCCTGAGTTTGATCCCCAGTACCAAAAAAAAGGAATGTACACAAGCGGCTAATCAATCCTGAGAACTAATAAAATATGTTTTCTCATTAGAAACTGACTTATATTCAAAGTGGTCATAAATTAACTTAGAGTGCTACCACAAACAAGTCAAATTTTCAAAGCATCTAAAATGGCCTCGGGCCGGGGATTTAGCTCAGCGGTTCGGTGGACTGCCTTGCAAGCGCAAGGACCTGAGTTCAATCCCCCGGTACCAAAAAATGAATAAATAAAATGGCCTCATTTATCCATGGGGACTTTGTATACGATAGAGATGGCACCAAATATTGACAGGAAAAGATGATTTCTTCAAAAAGTAGGTTAGAAATATTGGTTTACATAATAGAAGAAAAATTAGATCCCTGACCAAACATAGAAACTTAAATGTATTAAAGAGACAAATATAAAATGCAAACTTTTGAATTATTTTTAAATTTTAAAGTGGAATAAGATATTAAAGAATTTGAAGTTAAGCGTAGCTTACATCACAAAAAGCATAACTAGCAAGGAAAAATATTGACATATTTTACTGTCTAAAATTCATTTTTGTTTATGGCACAGGACATCATAGGCAAAGTTAAAAGGACAAATAAATGGAAGAAATTTTCAGTGAAGTAGCACTATAAGAATATAAAAACCATCCAAATCAAAGCCAAACATTTCAACAGAAAAAAAAAACAAAAACAAAACAGTGTAATGAAAACACAAGTCTTAGAAGAAACATAAATTTCCAATAAACACGTGGAAGGTAGGCTCAGCCAAAACAAAAATTGAGTAACAGTGTGACACCACCTACCTTAGATTATTAGACTAATAAAAGGAATGACTGTCTCCCATGAAGCATTGACAATACAAAGGGGAAGAGAAATGCACATGTGGTAAGTGGGAACCTAAGTGACTTGCTTAGAAAGCAACACAGCAGCTGTACTATGTGTGATGGAAATGGCCATGATCCTTTGCTTCTCCCATTTTCACTCTGCAATAGGATTCTGCACATCCTCTCATCAGGAGATAGGGTCTGTTTCCCATTTTCTTCTCTCTTGGTTGACCTTCCATTGTGTCTCAAGATTATAAGGAATAATTAAAAGATACTGTGAATGTTTAAATTTTTAAAAAACATTACAGTAAAAGAGACACTGACAAGAATAATGGGAAGCAAAGCAAAGTGGAATATTCTGAGTATTCTGAGGGATATTAATCCAGTGTATCTTTTACTGTAGTACTTTTAAAATGTAAACATTGACCATATATTTTGATCAAACCACACTGACCAATTATTTGCAACAATTTCTGTGAAATAAAAACACCAGATCTGGCCCTATGCAACTGGTAGCTCTTCCCTGAGGTCAAAATTGTCATAAAAAGTAAACAGTTTTGAATTAACTCTGGAAGCCGAGGCAGCCACAGAAGTGCAACTGAAGATACTCATGAAAGACAACTCCAGATTTGCTTCAGAAAGTGGCAAAAATGAAAAGTGTGTTTGAAGGCTGTGGGGAGTATTTTGATGGAAATTAATGGTAACGTGTCTTTTACTGTAATAATTTTTTTTAGAATTTAAACATTCACAGTATTTTTTGATCATACCTTATACTTGCACTGAATCACTTGTTCTCTTGCTTCTTGCAACTGCCCTGAGAACAGACCTGTTAAAGAAAGTAAGACCATGTGAAAAGAGAAGCTGACCCAAGCAGAGGAGATCCTAAACAGACAGCTCTAGCTAACCTCACAGCCAACTATATGATGTGAGCAAAAGTAACTATGCATAGTAAATCCTCTAGCCCAGAGGCAAATCTTTCATGTAAAGAGATCCCACTTCACTCAGAAAGACCGATTGTCTCATCTCCTCATGTCAGCATCTCCTGGGGCCGCAGCTCCCAAGAGTCTCCTAGTTATACCTAATTTTGAAGTCATTTAGTACAATGGCAAAAGCTCATAAGTTAGTGTTGTTTGGTCTAATGTTTTTTTTTTTTTTAATACTTCAACCAAGCCTCATATTCACAAAAGAAAAATCTTCCCTTGGACTATCAGGCTCTGAGTGTTCATTCTGCGATGATTTTTTGGGGAGATTCTACGTGAAACAGAACACACATGTATAAGTACCAAATAGTTTCTCTGGGGTGAGAAAGTGTAAATAAGGATCAAAATGTATAATAGATAATACGAAACAGTAAGAAAAAGACCAGAGGGAAAGGGGAAGTGAGAGAGGTAGGGAAAAGGAAAGAAGGGAAAGGAACAAATATGATAAAAGGAAAAAATGGAAACAAAGTCTTTGTAAATAGGGAAGGGTGAAGGGGTTGAAGAGAGGGCAGAGGAATGGGGAAAAAATAAGAACCTAGATATATTATGTAAAGGTACAAATTCTCAATGATGAATGTCATCATAATGTATCCCTAAAATGTACCAATAAAATTAATGAATAAAAAAGGTCAAACAAAATATTACCCATGCTGAGAAAAGAACCTAACACAAATATTTGTACATTTTCAAACTATCACAAAACACATATTTTCTAAACACTGGAATTAAGTAAAACAATTTACATATATTTAATTCTAAGGGTAAAATTCTGATGTGGATAACAAAAAGAGGTAGATTAAAAGTCTAAATTTTTCACTTTTCAAGCCAACAACCTAAGTGCCAGTAATATTTTCTAATGAAGACTAATTATAATGACAAAAGCAGCTATTTATTATGAATTGTTAAGAGCAGTAAGGGATTCATGTACATTATCTCACTTAATGTTTCAGCAATCCTGGAACATAAATACTGTTCTCCTTTTTACAATGCCACTGGGATATAAGGAGATTAAATTGCTTATCCATGGTCACAGAGTCAATAAATAGGGAAGCCTGGTTTCAAATTGTATGACTCCAAAAACTCATGCTCCTAACCACTGTACTATATTAAAACAAATATGCAAACCAAAACCATTGTAGTAGTCATTAAATCTCACACACTCCTTTGTCATACAGTATCTTACTTGACTCCCATATAACTCCCACAAATCCACCTTAAAGATGAGCTTCTTAAGGCTCACACCAGGAAAGTGTATATTCACAAAGTCACAAAGTTTGTATGTAGTATATCTCCACATAAAAATAGACTTGGTACTGATATTTGTATGAGAAACTGACTTAATTTTTGGAGTCTGATGGATGTTCAGAAAACCACTTAAATTTAAAGAACTACCCTCAGCTGTTGACAGTCACCCTCAGTCATTATCTCCATGATCAGGGAAGGAAAAAGAACTGAGAATGACATCATGGGAAGGTGGCAAAGAAAGAAGCAAGCGTCTTCCTGTAAACAGAGTGCTGCAGAGGTATGACACCTCCCCCAGCACAGGAGCAATAAGGGAACATACCACTTTAATCACCTTTGGTTTCTAGACGCAAATGCAGCCTTTGAAGAGTATTTCCAGGTGCTGTCGAAAAGGCTGACCACAAAGCTGGGACAAGTGCCTGCTGAATGGGTGATAGAGATGACTGCTAAGTCACTGGTCACCTCCTACAGTGGCAGCACAGGCAAGGGAGGCTTGGTGCTCAGCTTTCAAGCTCGGGGGCAGAGGTCAGCACCAGGTCTCCCTAGGGCCAGGACTAGGGTGAGAGGGAGTGGCTGGTGACAGGTGCTGACCAGCCATTCCTAAGCAGTCCTGTGCACTCGCTGCTGAGAGGAGGGTGTGAGGCTCAACACACACAGATGCAATGGGAGGGAAGTGCCTTCCCAGGTCCAAATAGGAACAGTCTAACTGCCTGGCAATCACCCCACCAGGGCCTCTTCCTCAGAAATGGGCTCACCAGAATCTGTAACACCTGCTCAGCCCCCATGAGATACAAAAGGTCTGAATGAACACAATGAGAAATACATTATTTCCACATGAGAATTCACAGAGAGCATGATTTCCACTGAGTGATTAAATTCAGTCAATATAAATAACCCTAGTCTCATAAATAGCTTTAGGAGTTTAAATTGTCAACATGACATATGACTTCTCCGCCTCCTCCTAACTTTACACCTACCCATGTTTTGAAGAAGTAGAGGAAAAGGCCCTTCAAGAATACCGTAGATTCCAATTAATTAAGTCTATTAATTTGTTGTTTTCTTTCTCATCAATGCAACTGGCCTGATTTTGAGCTTTCCTGAGCAGTTTCCTGTAGTGAAGGATCTCTGGAACTCATAGTGGATAAAATGTTACTGGTGTTAGAATGAAAAACAAGTTATAAGAACATGATCTTTATTAAAAATTGATTTAAATTTGAAAAATCCCCAAAAGACTAGTTGGTTGAAACAAGTGCTGGGCATAGTGGTGCATGCCTGTAATCCCAGCACTCCAGAGAATGAGGCAAGACAAACGCCAAGAGTTTGAGGCCAGCCTGGGCTACACAGAGAGTTCAAGGTCAACTTGAACTGCGTAGTGAGACCCAGTCTCAAAAAACAAAAACAAAGGAGTGCAATGGAAAAACAACTATGTGCTGAAAATAATGAACAAAAACTCTACCTTAATAAATTTCTGAGAATAAGCTTTCTTAGGCCCTTACAAGCCTTCTAGAAATTTGGCAGTTTGACATTGCCAGTTCACTCACAAACACTGATTGCTAAATCAGGTTCCAATGACGAAGGTGCCCATTTAAAAAGGGATAAGATCTGTATGGTAACAAAGCCTCTGAGCAACACCCTGAAGAAAAGTTAGCCAAGCCAAGTTCTGGAAGAAAACAGTTCATACAAAGAGAACTGCAATTACAAGAGACCTTGGGTAGGCTTCCTCAAGGTATACTCAGCTAAACACGGGAGTGAAACTGAGTTAGAGAGGGGAAGAGCTGTTGGAAGTGATGTTGGATAGGCTGCCCTAGTGTCAAGGTTATAACAGGTCTCATAGACTCATTCATGGTAAAGACGCTGATCTTCAGAGAATGAAATGAGAAGTCTTTGCAGGTTTGCAAAGGAATGACATAATCAGATTTAAATAATAAAAAGACCACTCTAATTAGTGAATAAAGAAAAACATACAGAGGTAAGAGTGGATGAAGGGAGACAAATTAGGAGGCTATTGCACTAACCCAGGTGAGAGACACTGGTAGCTAGACCAACTCGGGCTGAATGAAGCTGGTTAAGAAGGGGTTCAGTTCTTACAGTATCTTGAAACTGAAGAGGACAGGAATTGCTGATCAAGCAGATGGAGAACATCAGAGCAAGACAGAAGCAAGGATAATTCAAAATTTTCTGACTTGGCAACAAATGGATTTGCCATTTACTAAGAGAAAGGGAGGGGAATCCTGAGGGAAAAGTAATCAAGAGCAGCTTTTGTCTTGTTTCCTCCCATAGCCTTTTCGTTAACTCAGGGTCTTTGCACATAGTATTTGAATTGGCCTCTAAACTCCATGCACAGCTGCTTCTCCTTTGGACAGATATAAATCCTTCTCCAAAATCTCCCTTTTCCATAACTGTTCTGCATCTTTTCATATTGTCATTATGCAGAAAAAATTGTCAAATATTTTTAGAAGTTGGTATCATAAAACATTAGAATTATTCTTATCTTGAACTAGCCACTGAAAAATTCCTGTTCTCACTAAGTAATTCCTGTTTTCTATGCAGAAAAAGAAGAGACCTTTAAGCCTCTCTAGGCAAGAAATCTCTGCTCCTGCAGAAGGATCAAGCTGAAAATAGAGGCCCCAAGACACTTGCTTCAAAACCCGGGTAGATGTTCCTACATTCTCATCTCCTGGCATCACTGCTTTTCATATCACATTCAGAGCGTGTTTGTCAAAATGGTGAAAGTGAACAGTATGAGGTGTCACGAGTAATGCACTACTAACAATAAAGATAGGCTTGAAAATTAGATTGGAGAAAAGTAAAATGTATCCCTATATTATAATAATAATATTATTATTTCTCTTGCCTTCTGGAAAAACAACAGGGCAGAACTGTTGTTCATGTTGTGGGGATTTTACAGGATCTTGGGCATCCTCATGAAAATGACCACTCAAGGGAATGACATCCATTTATATGAATCAGTAGGAAAATAAAGATTGAGGGCTGCTAGCTTAGCTATCCAAAAACAGCAATGTGGAGAGACTTGAGATGGAGGACCTAACCTTTGCCTTTGCAAAGCTCACAGTTTTGTTAAGGACTCCAGATGTAAAGGAACAAAAGCTAATTTAATGCTAGCCTTTTCTACACCATATGTCTAAGTTTACAGACTTACCATACTTTTTCCCGGATTAATCTTTTTTGCCATATTCCTCCCCTGCCTCATCTCACAGCTAGGAACAGTAGCTATCATCAAAGGTATTGATTTCTGCCTGGAGCAGACAGGAAGGGGAACACAGCAGTCTGAGAAAGAGAAAGAAGCAGCTGCTCACCTCGAGGGATTTGTAGATAGGAATCTATTGTTGGCCTCTGATAAGAACAACAATAATATTATTATGGCCAACAATAACAGTAACAGCTAATACATGATTCCAGGCTCATCAACTTACTTAATTTTCCCACAACACTGCAAGATAGATTCTACTAACTCATTTTCACAGGTTAAGATATGGAGGGAGAGAGGAATAAGAGAACCTGCTCATGGTCACCCACTAGTAAATGACATAGTTTAGACTTCAACTTAGTCTGTTTGACTCCTGGCTTTAAATTCTCATTTAAA